TATTGGATAATGTAATGATCCTTTGTTTACCTTTTGAAAATTGTTATTCAATATCTGCCTATTCCAGCGTGAATGATACTTTATGCATAAAACTCATAAAAGGCTAAAATTTTAAAAATTGGCTATATTTTGTTAATTTCTATAACTCTGCAGCAAGTATTACGAGAGAAAATTATGCAGTGAGCTCAATATGAATAGATAAATGTGAATAGAACTAAGAGAGCTCGTTTTGACAAGCCGTAAGAACCAATCTATCCCAAGATTTTTCAATTATTTCAAATTAAAAGATCCGAGAGCAATAAGCGCATTTCAAATGTATTATTGGAACCGTTTAGTGAAATGAACGTCCATTACATCTCTGGAAAGGCGAATGAATACTGGGTCCCAATTAAAGGTATGACTAAAAAAGTCAGCTACTGAAAGTTCATCATTTCCTATTAGATTCGCTTCACTGGCTTTTAGTAAGTACGACTAAGAATTTTTATCAGGTAATTAATTGCCGCTGTAAAGACATAGATCATTAGATAGATCACTACAAAAAAACACATCTAAACGTAAATATTTTCAAAGTCAAAAATTTTAAGCCAAAGTACAATAAATCTAAAATTTTTTCATACAGTTAGCAAATTAAATGAGCAATAAATTGTGTCTAATTTTTGGTTATAGATAAAACAAATTGTAGACAATGCAGACAGTCAATTAGTCACAAAAAATTCTTCTAGATCTGGAAACAATTCGATTCGATTCCAGTCTGCTGGATAATCATGAAATGCATTATTTTTGAACATTAATAATGAATTATTCAAATATATCGTCAATTAATATATGAATGTATCTTCAATTAGAGAATTAAAGATATAAAATACCTATTTTTATAAATTCATTAATTCGGTTGAGGAAATGCCTGATTTTAAACATCCACTTTAATCTCAAATGGCCAGCAAAAGATGAAACACCCGAATAGCGACAGATAGAAATATATTTTACCGGTTGATAAAATTTTTAAGGAATCGCAAAATTACCATGAAGACGAAAATTCGGGTCCATACAGCTATAATTCGCTCGATCTTGTTATATGTCCAATGAGAGTGCAAGATATTAAGAAGCAATCGGCCTTTGATCACTCGTGTGAGATGTATTTAAGATGTTTTTACGGGTCCGTCGAGCCGATAAAATCACATATGATTGTATCTATCTTCGCTTAAATATTACCAGCATTAATAATTTTATCACAGAGCGTCGCCTTCGATGGTTAGGCACGTTTTCCAGTGTCTACCACAAGAATTGACGCATAGTTCGCTGTATGCCGAACCCTGTGATGGTTTGCGTCAAAAGCGAGGAGAGCCGATCAAAGATCTGGAGTGATACAATCATAAAAAAATTTTGAACATATAGATGAACCAGCGATATATGGACTTAGACGATGGAAAAAGGAATGGCTTCTATTACATCAGACCGCGCCGCATGGAGGAATCTTACCTTTCTGGCCAGTGGAAGCAACTTAGTAATGGTGAGAGCTGTAAGAAAAAGAAGAGAATCGTTCATCATTGTCTAATAAATCGCACCAGAGTCGACTAGGCAACAGGATAAGATATTTCAAGCGGATCCGATGGTTATCCTGAAAGTAATATAGCCAGTTTTCCACAATGCCTATGCTTTCAATATCTCCTTTGATCTTATCGGTCTAGATCTAAATAAATATTCATCGTTTTCTGCGCCAGCATAAAATTTAAGAAATTACAAGATATTCGCCAATGTCTGTGCTACGCGACCAATAATATTATCAGCATTCTTAGTGCAAATGGTATAGAGAAGGTTGATATAAATATTGAGATTCAGTTGATGATGCATCTTAGGCATGAATGCCCAAGGCTAGATAGCTTTCCGATATCTTCCACTCTCATTGGCCAAGTTCCACAGTCATATAGCAGGATTATGTACATTACTTTTGTTTTGACGCTGATTTTATGGCGATTTCAGAGATATTTTCGCAAAAAAAGGGCCATTTATCTGGCCATTAGATGTGAATATGGACCCAAGGTATTTAAACTCTTACTAATTACTAATTTACTAATTTATATAAGATGCAATCTTATCAGCGTCTAACCTGAAACTATTTTCGTCTTATTTACATTGATTTGGTCACAATATTCTAATCAAAATCTGCATAATTATGACACAACTTGCTGTCACTAATTCAATATAAAAATGCATAAACTTCTCACGAACATATGGCAAACTCGTTCGATGGTTATGCCTTATCACTTCTTTCTTGCAAACTCTGAGAAGAATAGGTGTATTATGAAATTACTCAATACTTTCCATTTATTTCGGTATTTATTGAGGAATTATTGGCTAAAAATGCGAATACGCGGCAGATTTGATGAACTGAATTCAACTGAATTGTAAATGCTTACGAGTGCCGAGTAAAATTAGTCATTCGATTCGAAGGAAATAAGATATTTCTCAACCGCTAAGAAATAATTAAGTATATTGTTAGTGGCACGAATTCTACTCGGCAAATTATTTTTTCTCATAAGGTTTGTTTAATTTTAACGTTAAATTTAATTATAAATAATATCCTCTGGAATTTCGATCTAACTATTATCTCTCGAGCATTTCATTTCGAGTTGTAACGATGAATTTTGGATGTCCATAAAAAATTTTTATTACTTCCATGATGCATTAATTTGTCGCTTTATATATTAATGAAAATGACGAATAATATTATTATGGAAAAAATTTCCCTTTTTTTTTATAGAGAGCTTATCATTCTTAAGGCTTTCTTCGTTGGCTCGGATTTGTATGACGAGGCCAATTCATTTAGCAATAAAAATACAAATGAGTCGCTAATATTAAACATTTTTTGGAAAAAGATTTGTTTTTAGCTAATGTGGAACTCCAATATCGGTGAAATAGAGCAACAACCCATTGAGCCATTCCACTCTTATTCTTGTATTGTGCATATATATTTATTTTATTTATTTTATACATTCATTAAATTTATACATTAAATTTTATCTTAAATTTATTTTGAATATTTATTCATTGTCAGGCATTTTTTATTTTTTCCATTTTTTAAAGAACATATATCCAGAACAAAAAAAAAACGCTATTTTTCAAGACTATTTTCAGACTATTTTCAGATTCTAAAAATGTAATTTGAAAAAAATTTCTACGAAGCAACGAACAGAGATTTAAAAATTATTGTAAAAAAAAAAAAAAAAACTAGTGATGATGCATCAATAATTTGAATGATGTGCCTAGTCATTTTCCACAAAAAAAATTTCCATTAGAGCATAAATAGTTCACTTAACTGTAGAAATGATTATTGGCGACCACATAAAATTAACAACAGACAGCCATCATGGATCGTTTAATGGCCAGATGATCGAGTTTTAAAAATCGTAAGTTCAATATATTCTCAACATGTGAAAAAGTATCGTAATGAGTGAAATCCAAATTAGCGATTCGTCTGCATTTCTATCACTAAATTCTTTTATGGTACCATTCTAACAGTTTTCAAAGCTATATGAACTAAAAAAAAGCAGTGTTTCAAAGGAAGAAAGTAAAAAAAATAATTAAGTATTATATATTATTATGGAAAAAATTTCCCTTTTTTTTTATAGAGAGCTTATCATTCTTTTTTTTTTATAGAGAGCTTATCATTTTTTTTTATAGAGAGCTTATCATTCTAAGAAATTTTTTATAACGAAAATAAAATATAAATAAAATGTAAAAATATGAGTATTGAAATTATTAAAGACTATTTTCAAAGCGATTAGATTTGAATACTCCAAATGCAACCGAATTATCGAGAAAAATCTCTAAAATATACGAAAATTTACGTTCCTAAATTTTTGGAGTGAAATTTATACAAAAATAAGTAATTTTATTTTATATGTATAAAATATTAGTGAATAATTTTATTATTTATAGATATATGGAATGATTTTTTTTGAAAAATTATAATGGAAATTTTTTTAAAGAAAATTGAAATAATAAAATTTAAAAATAGATTTTTTTAAAGAACTTATAATTTGTGGTTAAGCGCATTTGTTTGATGAAATAAATTTTCCTAGAGAGATTTATTATCTAAATAATCAATTTGCAAATGTGAAGTGAATTTTCGTCTTACAAAATTTATTCGAATTGAAAATGGAAATACCACCGCCGTTTTGAAATGAGGCTAAAAACGCACTAAGCCATTTTATCGCAAAAATTTATTTTTATTTTTTTTTAATATTATAAATATAATAATTTCAAATACGAGGAGAATATAAAGCTTCGTAAATCATCGCATTAATTTGCTCTTTGTTCGAAATCTTTCTTATATTTTGTAATTACGTTGCCTAAAAAGCAGGTGAATTTCCATATTATTCAATGAAATTTCACCTGTTTTACGCGAAAATTTTTCGATAACTTCGTGAATTCAATAACAACTTTTCAAATTCCAACTTGTTGCTTCTTCCTTTTTTTTCAGTTAATTTCCTCCTTTTTTTACTTTATCATTTTATCATTCATTTTGATAAATTTAATAAATTCGTCTATTTGCAGATTTATTATTTTATTTTTGTTATAATTTACTACAAAAATTTACTTTTATGATTTTTATAATTTTTTAACAAATTTTATTTAATATTCATTTAATTCCTTTAGTAAAAAACTATAAAATTTTTTCTGATTGATTTGATTTTGATTTTATAACAACGAGTAACTATTTCGAATGCACATATAATTCCGCTGTATTTACTCTTCGATTGCTGATAAGAATATCGCCGATTTACAGAAAATTGCAACAGACACAATTCTCTGATAGTTGAAATTATAAATTTTTGGCTACAAATATACCGAAATTAATTCATAAAATGGATTCGTATTAATATAATAATATTCAATAATATTTATTTTTATTATTTTTATTTGAAAAATAAATATTTTAGATTCTCTTCATCAGCGCTATGACATTAAGATTTGGTTAGAAATTGAAGTTTATTGGTATGTATGAAGAGAATTTACAGTTTTTAAAAAGCGAAAAGGTTTGATTAAGCTCCTTATTCAAACTCGATTCAGTAGAGATAAATGCTTATCAGTAGGATGAATAAGAAGCAAGCAATGAGAAAAATATTGTTGATGCAAAAATTAATGTGAGTGATACTGAACCTAAATGAATCCGAATCAGCTACATTCATGTATTTTTTTAAATAGATGATCGCTAATAAAAAAAAGCCTGAATTAAGGAAACTCCTAGCGATTCATTGCGATTAAATTCCTCTAAGGATCAAATTCGTACCATAAGTGTACTTCCTGCTGATGAATCAAAACGCTCATTATATACGCTTCATGAAGCATTAAAAAGCTGCTCAAGCTTTATTGAAGCAAAAATTGTAGAATATCAGAAGGTAATTAAATTTATTATTATTTCACTTTCTTTTTTTTCTGGATAGTTTCAATTAGAATAGGGAAATAAGAGGTACCATGAAATTGTCCTCTGATTTTTCATTTCTCAAGCTTTTTTTTTTGGAGAATTCAGATAGAATTTAAAGGACCTAAATATATTCATTTCATCTAAAATTCTATTTTCTTGATCATCTAATAAATATCGCTGTAATAATAGTATTAAAAAAAAAATTTTGAATTTTGAGTAAATATCTTTATAAATAAATATTTGCTTGAATATTCTTTTTGAGTTTCAATTATTAACAAGTAAATCATTAGTTTAATAAATAGTATTTTTTAAAGTATGTGGCAGAAACTTCATCAATAATTTTCGTAACAAATATTTTACAAACTCAAATCGCTTCCTGGGAATTTTCAACTGAATTAACTAAACTTTATGGAAAATTGGGTGTTCGTCGAACTGAAGATTTTGAAGAAAAAATTCGTGAAATACGCGAATCAGAAAATGCGCGACAAGAGACAAGTGATTTTAGTTGAATTTGAATTTCAAATAAAATATATTAACAATAATATATATTGCATGATGGATAGAAGGCAATTGTAATCTATAAAATCACCTGGCAATTATTTAAATTCTTAAATGAATCAATTTAATCATTTAGGGCAACTGATCTCACATAGGCTCATGAAATACTCTAATTGAGGAAAATTTCGAACCTTTCGTAAACTTAGTTCAAAGCAATGATCTATTCATAATGATTCATAATGATCTATTATTTATTTTAGAGTTGGTTCCAGTTTTTTTGTAAAAGTATTGATTTACTTTAAAAATCTTTCAGTTTTTTATTTTTAGAAGAGCTAATCAAGAAGATTGAAGAAGCATTCGAACAGTGGGATTTTTTTCTTAAAACTCTTGATATGGAACTTGATAATACGTTTGGTTCAAATTTCAAAAAACATGTTGGCGATTATCAAAGTATATTTAATAAAATATAAGTAGTTTAGATTTTTTAATTCTCTATTTTTCCAATTTTTTTGAAGACCATTCACCATTACTGGTTCGACTCGCTTCTCTAGCTTGTGGCACTGGAAAAATATGCCAGAGAGTCTCTTGGCGATAAAAGTGCAGCTAAACTACTAGCATTACTCGAACATTTAGACGAGTTTACCTCTACTGACAGTAGAACCTCACCAACAACGCACTGAAATGAGCACCGAGTTATTTTACTTTCCTTTGTGTTTCTCTGTTAGGCGATACTGCCACCTGGTGAAGAACGGTGCGTCAGTGGAACCGAGCACAGGTTTCGATTTCGACAGGTGTCGTCTTCCCATTGTACCATTGATACAACACCTATTTACCATTCTACAAAATATTTGGCACCAAATGGTATCGTTAACGACTAAATTATAATTATAATCAATAATTAATAAGAATTATAATTAATAAGAATTTCTCAAAATATAATTTACTATATAATATAATAATATAGTAATATAATAGAAAATTTTAATAAAAAAAAAACTAACAGGCATCGAAGTGGAGCCGAGAACAAATTTCAAAAAACACCATTCAATACAATCATTCATTAAAAATAGCAAATTTGCGATGACACTTGTTAGCGTTGTCGCATCATTTTCATCACATTCATCCGCTGAACGCATAATGCAGATTTATCAGAATTTAGCTGAATTTAATAAATATGATTGCGATGTGTTATTTCTAGCAAAGGAAAATCTTGGAAGTGGTTAGTTTTAGGTAATTTTTTTATTTCTTTAAAATTATTAATGGAATAAGAAAAGCTTTTTTATTACTCTTCTAACTATTTCCGATTCTTAGTGCTCTTCAAATCGAATCGCTTTAATTTCGACGTTTCTCACAGAAAATTATCTCTAATTTGCCTCAGGCACTTAACGAATCTTACAATCGGCGGGCGACTTTCCAAAATTTTTTTTCGCAAACTTCGAAAAAAAATGTTATATGGAAATTGTAAATAGTTTCCTATTTCCTAATTTCTGCTCGTAGACCTTTCTTTTTCATGTTTAATCTTTTTATTTAGCCTATTTAATAATAGTATAAATAGTGCCTCATAAAATGGTTTTAAATAAACAATGGACAGTTCAATTGGTGATTGACAGCTACATTTGTAATACTGGACAAGTCATTTAATTTTTCAATTATTTCTTAGTCCGACCTTTACAGGAGGTGGCTTTCTGAAGATAGTTGGTGTTCCCTTTCAACTCTTAATGTCGGCACAAGAATCTCCGCAGAACTTTCACCATCTGCCAGCTATTGAAATTGCTGGTTCAAAATCAATACATATGGTTTGTTTAAAAATGTCCTTATTGGTTCATTTGTAAGATATTCGTCATATTTTCTTGATTTTTTATTTTCACTGCTATAATCTTAAAACTATAGTTCGAAAAAACAGCTGCTTTGTCTATCAAATTAGCTAAATTCATCTAAAACTCTAGGATAACTCTAGGATAATATGAAAATAGAAATAGGTGGCTTTTATCAGAAACAGGCTAATATTCTAAAATAAGCGAAAATATCGAGAAAGCCATTCTATTCTCAAAATTGCATGATAAAAAAATTTCAAATAAAAATATTGATAAAGTCAAAAACGGCCTTAAGAAATCGGTTTTAATAAAAGCTATATTCAACTATAAAGAGACGATTAATGCGTAATATTATTTTATCTATAAGATTTCTTTCCAAAAGCGCACGCAATTTCCGGTTAGATTTGTTAATTTCATGTGCCAAGTCAAGAAAAATTTTGCCAGGGATCCATTTGGTCTTAAAATTACAATCCTTGGAATTTTGTAAGATTTCCTTTGCTGAGAGTAGAATCCCATCATTTAATATGTGCATTAAAATAAGAGCAAAAAAGATAATTTCAAAAAATATGAGATAATTAGAAAAAATCAAGTTTTTGCAGTTCACTGAATTGATATGTTCGGATGATACAGTTTCTATATCAGATGGGCCAGAAGCATTGGAAAATGCAGCCGATGCACTTCTTTCCTCTGTTGATGGCATTATATTGCTGGATAAAGAAGGTGACATATTGTACGCATATACGGATTCAGAAAGTGATGTTTGGTCAGGTGTTGAAGCCATATTAGAAATAGTAAGTTAAAAATTTTTGGTGATATCATTTATTAAAGTTTTCAAAGTTTTGAAAGTTTTTCTTTTTTCTAAGAGTATTCTTCTGATCGGCGCCATTCCATTTGCATGTCGAACCAGATAGTCACTTGCACAACAGAAATACAGCTGGAAAAAGGAAGAAGGCTTATTCTTGTCAGGAATAGAAGCTTTTCAGCGTCCTAAAATGAGAGATAGAAAAAAGTTGAAAAAGCCATTTTCTCACCGAAATTGCAAAAAACATCTTAAAAACGATTACAAGAAATTCTTAAAAAAAAAGGACAAGTATTATTTTAAAACAGACATTGATGTGAGAAGAGCGAAATTATTAAAGGCTATTTTTAGAAATAATATGTTATAGGTTCGCAATCGTAATAAAATGCCCGCAAATGAAGTCATTATTGAGGAAGAAAAACCACCGTTACCAGAAATTAGCGAAGAAAAACGTGAAGCAGTTACCAAAGTTACTGAAGTGACCGTATCAACTAAAAAAAGATGTTGCACAATATTATAGTTTTATTTTATTTCAAAATAGTTTGATCCATTTTATTAAAAGTTTTAAAATTGAAAATGATTGAATTGTTCGACATTTGTTACTTTTATCATTTTATCATAAATTTTGTTATCACTAAATTTTCTTGTAATTATTTTCGATATGCCGTAAAATCTATTAAATTAAAAGTTTCAAAAATTGGTTGGTGAGAAAAAATGAAGAAATATTTTATCGAATAAAAGATTAGATTTGCACTATTGTCACACTGAGGAAAAACTTTGCCAGTCATCCTGGATACTTGGAGATGGAAACATATCCTGCATTGAGCAAATTTTTCAAAACAGGATGCTCAGAACAATCATTGTGATTAAAATATGGAGCAAAGAAGTAAAAGGCTGTGAAACTATATATGCAAATTTTTCAAAAATTCAATAATTCATAATAATTCGATTTTCGAAAATTCGAAAAAAAAATATTTTTTTCTCATTCGATGAAAAAATAATATGGTTATCATTCTTTCGAGAAATTTTTCCATTTATCCAAATGATTCAACTTATAGAAAATTTTTGATTTTTAATTTGATTTTTCACGAATTTATGAAATTTCCTAAAATTACTATATGCACAAATATACACTTTTTATTTTTGTGCAATTTAACTCTTTTTTAATTATTCCACCATAATCATAGGAAATTTCCAAAGGAACACTATATCTGTAATTAAAAATCAATATAAGAAATTTGTGGTTTGTCTTGGGACTTTCTCTTGGCTTAAACTTCAAACTCGTTGCAAAGCTATTAAAATGCTAAACCTCAAATTTGGATAATTAAGTCGTTGGTATCTTTTTTATTATAAAAATTAGAATTAAAAATTCAAATGAAAAAATTGAATTTAGAAATGAGTAATTGCAACAAAACTAATAAATCAATTAAAACATAACTTATATTCGCAATCAGAATAGCCTGAAGGCAATTTAAAAAATACAAAGCATATAAAATTCTACAAATTCCTTTATCAATCTTATCAAATTTTACCAATTTCTACTTTCACGATTATCTTTGAAAAAAGATTTGGAAGAAGCAGTTTACAAAAAAAAAATTGAAAGAAATCTTAAAATTCAACCACGATTCCTAAACTGTTCACAAAAAGTTCTCATAGAAAAAAGTTGCGTAGAGATTTCAAGACCAATGAAAGGAATGAAATTCAAAAATAATAAACCATTTACCAAATCATTTAAAAATATTTCATTTTGATAGTATGACTGGTATTTTTTTATAGTTATTAAGTTACCAAGTCCAAATTCCAAGTCTTTTTATGTGATAATCCTTTATCAATCTTATCAAATTTTACCAATTTCTACTTTCACGATTATCTTTGAAAAAAGATTTCGAAGAAGTAGTTTATTCATGGCTTTACCAGCAAAAAATTCTTTATATTCTATGATATCCTAAGGAATTTATTTAGATAATACGAGGCTTAAACTTATTGAAAATTTTGCAAAGGTTTTTTTTGTCGTTTTTTTATTTCGAAGTATTTTCGAAGTAAAAAAACATTGAAATGATTGTATCGTAATATTTTTTCAAATTTTTTTAAAGGCATAGCTGATAATTTACAAATTTTTTATGGCCAAGAAAATAAGCACTATGGACAGGAATGGCGTAATGTTTTCATCAGAATGATAAAGCTTGATAAAAACATCTTATAAAAAAGCAAAATCTTAGTAATACTCAATTTCTATCTCGAATGTAATTCCATAGGTGTAGAAATAAAATCATTCTAATAGCCAAAGGAGCAATGAAAATTATTGGTGAATGATGGTGTCAGGTCTCGAAGACAACTAGTGATAATAATTCTTTCTAAAATTGCTTATGGAGTCTTATCAATTAAAAGAATTAATGTAAAAAAAATTGAAATTAGGGCTTTGATAATTTAAAAAATTGAGATATTTTTAGCTGAAAAATATTTCAATACTTTAAATTTCTTTAGATCCAATTAAAATATTTTATTTTAAATAAATTTCGTTACCAATTATCATTTTTTAAGAAATCTTATTATTTAACCTTCTATTTTAATTCATTGCAAGTAGTCTGATGGGAATTAATATTACCTCCTAGAAACCTCGAACTGGTGTCAATTACTTATGCCAAATAGGTTCCATTCTTGCTTCCTTATGTGAATAGTTCTATTATTGAAAAATTTGTTTGTTTGAAATGAATATTTTGACCATATAGTGAATTCAAAAGAAATTTTACAAGTTGAAATAAGGGGCTGAGGAGGAAGAGGGGGGCGGGCGAGTAGTCTACAAGCAGTCTTTAAATTATTACTTTAATAGTAGGTGGAGCTAGTCAATTAACAACTGATGAATACTGTCAAAATTTGACCACTCCAATTCTTATTTGAGGCAAAGACGAATTTTTATTAAGTACCTTTTCATTATTATATTAGTTAAACTAGCAAAATCCTAGACTCAAAGATAGTTAAAACTATTCTTTAAAGATTGTAAAGCAACCTAGAAACTATTGAATTTTCACCTGTCTTTTCACATTTTCCTGCCTATATTTTCTTGAAAAATATTTTTTCGAGTTCATTATTTTGAGAATTTGTATGAAACATCTGACTGTACTACTAACAAATTTTTTCCCTCTATCATTTCTGATTAGACTCACTCCGATGACTTTTTGAACCAAGCAAATTTTATCAGAGAGTCATTTGGTGACAAAATTAGAGTCGCTATTATCACGTGGATTTTTGAAATGTAAGTTTACTTCTACTGGAGATAGATCTTTGATCACAGAGAATCAATTTTATATTAGAATATTTTAATATTCGTCTATATTTTCTCGATATGTATAAGTGATTTTGAGATTAGTAGTTCAATTGTTCGTAAAAAATAATGCAAAATTTTCAATATTAAGCAATATTAAAAAAATTTTGATAACCATTTTTTGCTTACTGATATTGCCTCTCCGCTTATCGTTATAGTTCTATCGAGCTATAGATTATAGATAATTTCACAAACTGACAAGAAATATATTTTCTAATTTTTTTCGAATATCTGATAAGATAAGATTGATTTCTCATTATTTTTTAATCGTGCTCATTAAAAGGTTGAAGAGTAAAGAATAAAATGTGGAAAAAATTCTTATAGAGAATTTAAATGTCTAATGGTGAACAATATTTATATTGTAGTTTAACGTATGCAACTAAAATATACCTCGATCGATTTCGTCTAAAATTGTTCGAGCAATTTGTCTCGAAAGATTTTTTTTAAAATTAATGATATTCTTCTTGTTAAATAAAATTTTATTTAAAAAAACTAAAATAAAAAAAAATTTTTCCATTTTTTTTCCATTCCCTATTATATATTTGTTTTTTGAGTGTTACGCGCAATGAAAAATGATATTATTTCGTAAATTTCAGATTGTTTTAATAACTTTGGTAAAAATCTTTCGATGAAATCTTTAAGAAGGTTGATCAATCAATCGAATCAAATAACTGCTAAAAAATGGTTGATTTAATTATTCTTTAACATTTTTCCTAAAATAAATTTTTAACAAAAATTATTTGAAAAAAATCAGTCATATTTAGTGCAAAATTTAATTAGTGAATTCAATCAAAAAACAGACTTTAAAAATTGAAATTTAATTAAAATTTAATTTTTAAATAAATAGATTTAAATTCAAAAAGTTTTAATTAAATATTGAATTTATGACCGGAAATTTAGCAAGGTTGATATAAATCGAAGTGATAAAGATGGAAAAAGGTGTGATAAGAATGGAAAAAAAATGTTAACGATTGCATCGGTCAGGAATCTCGTAAGCATAAATTTTTTCAAAAACTCATTTTTTTCTGATTTTTCCTGATTTTTTATAATTCTCTAATGAATAATATTTTAACAATAATATTGGAATAGTTATATCATCATATTTCTTACATTTTCTTAACTATATTTAAATATAAAGTGCGAAATCGCTTTTTCATACACACACTGCATTATCAGTATTATCAGTTTATTTCGAATAGTTAAGCAAACAAAATGGTAAAAGCCTCGATATTTTTTTTGTAGAATCTAAGAAAAATTTGTATTATCAACAGCAAAAATAATAAAATAATTTTGCCGAAGAAAACCTACCAAGACAGGTGTTCTTTTAGCAAAAATTATGAACCATGTGAACAATTAGCGCAGCGAGCCAATAAGAAAATCTTTACACTTGAATCACTTTCACCACCAAAAGTTGACAAGCCATTATAGCTGCTATTTATGGAGAATATCTTTCAAGAAGCCAAATATCGCCGAAAGCATTTTTCGCAAAAAAATTGTGAAAAACATTGCATCTAAAAAATTTGAAAATAAGCTTATAGTTAATGACTAATGAATGGCTCGATGCAACTTTGCATAAAAGGCGATATAGTTAATTTACCACTGCTAGTGAAACTGTTACTTTATCAGCTTAAGATCCTTTTTAAAAAATTGGCTAATTTGTATGAAAATTTCAGAAACATACAATATGATATATATATATATATATATATATATAATATAACGGCTTAAATTTTGAAAAAATTTTCCAACTTTAAATTGTATTCTTATCTACAAATACTTTTTGAAAATAAAATAAAAATAAATAAAATAAATAAAAATAAATAAAATAAAATAAAATAAAAATTATTAAACTCAAGGACGCATTATTTAACCTTTAACTTACTATTTGACTTTTATGATTATTTTTTTCGATAATGATGGATAATATAAATAATTCATATTCATATTTGTCTGATTTGATAGGCTGCAATGATATTTCTAATTTCTGGCTCGATTTTCTTCGAACAACTGAAGAATCGATTCTGTATATGAGATTTATGAAAAATTTTTTAATAAATCTCAAAATTCATCACTTCATTTATTTATTTTCTTTAATGTTCTTTATTTTTGCTACTTCGATAAAACAAATTAATAGTAATTTTAATAAATTACTACTGAATCGGCAAAAACTTTTAAAAACCTTGAATTCTAAAATTAATTGAAAAAATTTAAAATTAATAGAAAAAACTTCCAGAGGATACAATTGGATTGTTTTTAGAAGTTAGAATTTTTTAAGAGTACTACTGGTAAGATTCACTCCTCTGGCTTATCGCACCAGATAAAAATGCCAGGGAGTCTCTTGATGACAGAAATGCAGGTGAATCGCCAGAATGTACTATTTCTTCCTGGTTTTTAAACAATAATCTCAAATTATAAATAGAAATTATAAACCTTTTTGTTGAGACGAGAAACAAGAATAAAAATAAAAAAAAGCAAATTTTGAGACATTGAGACGCGACAATTCCTTTTTTTTGTATAATTTTACGATGTAAAAACAAAAAAAGCAGCATTAAACAGCAACAGGATAAACCAAGAAAAAAGAAATATTCTACGAAATAACTATCATATGCATAAATAATTAGTTGGCACTCACCATTTTTCCATTGTTACAGGTATTTCTGTCAAAGAATCAATAAGGCTACTATAAAATTTTCAAAAAGGGGGGCATATCTATCACTATAAAAATTCGAAAAGAATCGTTATCACAATAATTTATATCAAACAAATCTACACCAGAATTGTTAATATTTTTCAGTATCGATATGCAACAGGACTCGATTATTTATTGTTATTTGTTGGCGTATTAAGTGGATTAGCTCATGGAATTCTAAATGGCACAGGGCAGCTTATTTTCCGCGACTTATCCGACGTTTTAATTAAAGGACAAATTATGTGGGAATTAGGATTGTTCAATTATGATGAATTTTTTATTGGTGCAATGAAGGCAATCTATGCTTATATTATATATGGCCTATTAATATTTATTCTTGCTTTTATTTCGGTAAAATCACAATATATTAATTCCAATCAAAATCTTTTTGAGTTCTTTTAAGCCAAAAAATCGAATTTTTTTGAAGTAAATATATTTTAAAATAAATATTTGCACATTTGGAAATTAGAAATTTTCTTTTCGACTGAATTGAGGAGGTTCATAGCAATTTGCAGATGTTATCATGGAATATTCTAAGTGAACGCCAGACCTACCAAATCAAAAAACATTATTTTTTGGCTGTTTTGCGGCAAAATATGGCATGGTTTGATGAGAATGAATCTGGTGATCTAATCAACAAGATGACAAAGCAACTCTAATATATATTTTAATAATAATTTAATGATAGAATTTTATCATATAATGAATTTTAATAATAATAATCACTATTTATATATATATATATATATATTTTACTATCAAAATTATTGATATTTGACATTGAAAAAAAGAAATTAAAATTATTAAAATAAATAAATAAATAAATTTTTATAAAAAAATTTTTACCACTTAAATTATTACTATTTTTGGTAAAAAATGAGTTCAAATCTTCGATTTATTCCGATATGTGAAAATTTATTAAAATTTATACAAATTCTTATATTTTTTATATTTTTCAAATTCTTATAAGAAATTTTTGAATTTTTTTATCATTTCATTTTTAAATCAACAAGTTTTTTAGTGGTGCGGATCGTGTACGAGACGGTTTAGGTGAAAAATTAGGACTCACTTTTATATATTTGGCGAATTTTATTTCTGGCATTGTTGTTGCATTTATATGCAGGTGATTTGAGCAATAAATAATAATAATTTTTAAAATGAAAGAATATTCAAAAGAAAAATTCAAAAAGTATGGAAGATAAATTTATGAGGCGAAAATATTGTAAATATTGTAAATTTTAATAAATTAGTCGACAAATCTCGAAAGAAATTAGCAATTCAATAAATTAACAAATTTTAAATTATTGAAATAAATTTTTTATAGTTGGAAAATGACGCTTGTGATTTTTGCTTTCGTTCCAATTCTTGGCGCTTTAATAGCATCGCTAAGCATGGTAAAGTTTTAAATTTCTTACAGTGAAAAGCACTCATAATTTCTTTTCTTCTAATAGACACCATTTACCTATTACCTATTAGCTCAAAAAGGTGTCCCATCTTCATCAATGAAGGAATAGAATTATTATAAGTTTAATTTTTATCAGCTGATTATCAGCTGATCTTAGTGAAAACACCTTAAAACTCGCAAAAATTTTTTTTATCATTGCTGATAATTTGACAAAAAACGCTGTTCATGTCGCTTAATTCAGTTCATAAATAGAAGCGCAAAGAATGAAATGGCTGCAAGCGGAAGTGTTGGAGCGATTGCTGAAGAAGTCATCTCAGGAATTAGAACGATAATCGCATTCAACGGGCAGGAAAACGAAATCGAAAGGTGCTTCTTTGACCGATGCTTGGTTAACCATTGTCATTTTTCATGGAAAACCTATAATAATTTGTGGAAGAGCTTTCAGAATCCATATTTTTACCGTCCAGTTATTCCCGATTGGTAATAAAGATTCTTCTTTCAAGAGCTGTCACCATTATTTGGCTAGAAATTGAGAATTATCTATGGACAGTTCATATTTGATTCCTAAAAGCTTTAAAGCCAACATAGGCCATCGAGTAATTAGCCCCTTAAATCTAGAATGATGCACCATCAGCAAGCAGGCGATAAGCAAGCGACATCCACATGATATGAATAAGCTACAGACGATTGCCTCGCTATAAAGCTGTGACCAAGATTTCATTCCGAATTTATCTTGAACTATACACGACTTCTTTAAATAAGCATTTCAGAACTATTTGGCCTTTTCATTGCAACTTATAAATTTAGAAATACAAAATCTTCAAAAAAGCGAATAATGTTTTCATTATTATGGCAATTCCCAAATTATTGCGAAATTTTAGAAAATTATAAAATTTTTATTTTTTTAAAATTTTATTTATTATATCTTAGAAAAAAAATTTTCTTATATCACAACTGCTTAAAAAATTTCAAATTCGATAAAAAGAAAAAAAAAGTTTACTTAAATTTATCAAAAATATTATCAAATTTATCAGATACAAAGAAAAATTGAAAATTTCAACAAAAATTGGAATTCGAAAATCATTACTATCTGCTATGGGAGTAGCGATGATTTTTTTAATCATCTTTATAGCAATGGGAATCGCTTTTTGGTAAGAATTCTGCTATTATCATTGCATAATTTTTTTATTCTATCAACTAAGTACCAAATCTATTTATAAGATTTATCTGATTCTTAATGAAATTAATTGATTCATGCAAAAATCATAAAATATTATCATCATTCGACTTCAAATTATAGGAAACGCTTAATTAATATATCTAATCAGTGAATTCTGTAAAGAACTAAATTGAAGATGACAAAAAAATTTTAAAAATTATCTAATTTCTATGATGAAATCTTCATTCTTCCGTGAAGATTATTAAATTTTTGATTTAGGTTTGGAACAAAAATTTATATAAATAATGAAATATCACCTGGCACGATTTTTGCAACATTTTGGGCAATTTTAAGCGGAACAATAGCTTTGGGAGTTTGCAGTTCGCAATTATCAATCGTTCTTAGTGCACGAGCTATAGCATCATCTCTGTTTGAAATTATTGATAGAGTTCGTTGAATATTTTTTTTATATTTAGAAAGAAATGTTTTGTTTGCAAGATGAATATATGAATATGAATAAATATATAAAATATTAAAAATATATAAAATAAATATATAAAATATAAAATTTAATAAATATATAAAATTTTTTATTTCTCGAATAATTTAAGGTACCAGAAATAGATTCTATGAATTCAAATGGAAAAATATTGCTGAACCCAAAATGTGCTATTGAATTCAGGAATGTTGCGTTCCACTATCCAGCAAGACCCGATTCAAAAGTTCTCGACAATATAAATTTCAAGGTTTCCAATTCTTTATTTGTAATGTTTTTGATACTTTATTTAAAAGTCTCCCAGAAATCCCGGTGATACTAGCGGTTCACCTGTACTTTCACCCCTGAGGGACTCCAGCGACTAACTAGTAATGGTGGAAGCTCTTTAAAATAAAATTACATTACATTTAATCGGTGATTTTAAATACTTTGATTTTGAAATGATTAAAATTCTTTGAAATGATTAAAATTCTTTGCTTTTGGGCTCTAATTTAGTATTTGCCATATATAACATAGATGTATAAGAAAATCTTATCGTAATATGCCGTATGCCGTAATATAACAAATTAAGTATATAGATTTCTCCTGGTCAATCTATAGCGTTGGTTGGGCACAGCGGTTGTGGAAAAAGCACCATTCTTCAGTTGCTGCTGCGGTTCTATGATCCAGATAGCGGCTCAGTTCGTTTTTCTAAGTTTTTTCAATATTTCGCAATATCTTGAAAATCCTATCGGTATCTATCGGTCTCTATTTGCTAGATAACATTCGATGGATTACCAACTAAGGATCTAAATTTGCGATGGTTACGAGAAATAATTGGTGTTGTCGCTCAGGAACCAATACTTTTTGAGGCAACGATCGAAGATAATTTATGTTTGGGTGAGAGGAATTCATTTATTTAATAATTTTATTTTTTGAATTTTATTTTTTATTTTTTATCAAAAATATATCTAATTGAATTGAATTTTAGCAACAATGCAAGAATTTATTTAGCGCTTATTTTAGGCCGAAATGTTGGTGCAGAAGAAATGTTCGAAGCTTGTCGACTAGCTAATGCACATCATTTCATCGAAAAATTACCTCAAGTATCCTTCAAATAAATTAGACGTCTATAATGATTTAATCATATAAAAGAAAATCTGATAAAATACGGAAGAGATCGAAATAATCTCTCAAAAAAGTTTTAGGGTTATAAAACAAAAATCGGAAGCGGTGAGCTTCAGCTATCTGGCGGTCAAAAACAACGCATTGCTATTGCACGAGCACTCTTACGAAATCCAAAAATATTGGTTCTTGATGAGGCGACTAGTGCACTTGATAGTGAAAGTGAACAAATCGTTCAGCAATCTCTTGATAATGTAAAAAGTCTTTAAAATATTTTTTTTTTTTAAATCCATATTTTGCGATGTTTTTTTGTGAACCGCTTTATTTTTCATATTTATTCATTAAATAATAAATATTTACAATTATTAAAGTAATTTATAGGCGATTCAAGGACGTACAGTGATTACGGTGGCTCATCGCTTATCGACAATACGTAATTCGGATCTTATTCTAGTCCTGGACCACGGGAAAATTGTTGAATTCGGTATCTTCATAGAATCACTTCGAATTTTCTCTATAATAAACTATGAAGTGATAAGTGATATTTTCTTTTTAAAGTAGTAATCAACTATTTCTTAGGTACACACGAAGAACTACTGAAGTTCAAAGGAACATACTGGAAGCTTGTTGTCGCACAAGATATTGAAAAAATAGTGGATAGTGAAGTACCAACTGAAAGCGAAGGTTAATTACCAATTTTATTAAATGATTGCCAAATTGCTCTCTACGAGCCACGACAATTTCAGGGAATTTAGTTATATATATTTTTGTCATATTTAAATTATCAAAACTTTTTTGATATTTTATGCAGCTTAAATTGTCTATTCAGAACTCTTAGGCTGAAAAGTTTAACAAATATTTCAATTTTTTAAAGCTTTATAATATTGCACTGGGATCCACGAATTTTTTGAAATCATCAGAGACATATGGAAAAAAAAGATTGAAAAGCATTGGTTTAAAGGATCGAATTTGCAAAAACTGATTTATTTGAATTAAATAATATAGATTATGATCCCTCACATCAAATGGGTAATATGCACCAAGTTTCACGCTCTTCATCAATGAGAACTACTTCATCATTTAAAACTTCAAAATTGGGAAGCAAGAAAAGTTTCAACGGAAATCGACTAAAATTTATGAAAGATTTAGAGGTAATTAAAATTAATTAATTAAAACTTAAATTTATTAATATATTAATTAATATATTAATTTATTAATATATTAATATAAAATTTATTAATTGATAAAATACATTAATAAAAAATTAAAAATTTTCGAAAAAAAAGGAAAAAATTAGATATTTATGAGTGCCTTTATTAGAAGTTGGTGCAATATGATGCAGCACTATTGATCATTATTAGATAGAGTTTATTAATTTGAAAATAGGTAGGAACCAAAAAGAAGGAAAAGGACGAACCAGGATTATTTGAAATCATATTGTTTGCACGTAAATTATGGTTGATATTATCATTTGCTGCTGTGATATCGATCTTAAGGGGACTCATTTTTCCTGTTTTCTCTCTTATTTATGGTGATCTTTTCAAGGTTTGCTCTCGATTTTTTTCTTCCAGCGTAAGATCAATTTTTATCCCAAAAGCAGGAAATCATCTAGGGCTATTATAATAATTTAAGTTTTAAGCCTTACCCATTTTTCATTAAGATGATAGTGTTCCTTTCACCTTACAGCCTGATTTACTGATAAATTTTTAGGCTTTATCTAGAGAACGTGATGAAGATAAACTTAAACAGGCCACTATTGATGCAATATATTTTGCATTATTAGGAATCGGTAGTGGATTGTTAACATTTTTTGGGCATTTCGCTTTTTCTTTAGGCGGCGAATTACTAACTGAAAAGATTCGACTAGCTTTATTCAGCAATATTGTAAAACAGGTATGGCTGCTCAACTTTGCTTTCTTTCATTTTTGGTTAATAAAATTCACCGAAAATTTATCGATATGTTCAAACAGGATAGCGAATATTTCGATTCTTCCGATCATTCGCCAGGAAAATTAATAACTCGACTATCGACTGATGCATCGAATATACGAGCAGCGATAGATCAGAGGTGATTTTATCTACATTTAAAATCTAATATTCGACTTCAATATTGATAATGTTGATAATTTTAATATTGATAATATTGATAATTTTAACAATGATAATAAAAAATAATTTCTTCAAAAAGAAGTTTTCTTTTGGTGAAGTGAAGTTTTTTTTCAATGATTTATTTTTTATATGATAAAAATTATTGCAGGCTTTCTGATGCAATACAAGGTATTGCAGGAGTCATATATGGCGTTATAATTGCTTTCACTTATAGTATCACTATGGCTCCAATTGGACTATTAACTTCAACTGGATTAATTATTTTGCAAAATATAATATCGCAAATTGTGAAAAAAAGATTACAGCAAGATTCATTGCTATTGATAGAACCATCTAGAGTTAGTTTTTTACGAAAATTTCTGACAGAAAATCGAAAATCGGAAAATTTTTCGGTAATTTTGATAATGAATGAATGGACCACTTAGCATTTCTTTGCCAACTTCAGCTAACAAGCGAAATAATTGGCCATCACAAAACTGTGCAATATTTAACTCGCGAACAATATTTCTACGATCTCTATGAGAAGCAAATGGAAAAGCCGTATAAACGAATATTAATACGTGCATTCATACAATCGCCTATATTTGCGTTGAGCTCTTCCTTTATCTTTATTAATTTTGCTTGTGCATATCGCTATGGACTTTGGTTAATATATAAAGGAAATGCATCGCCATATATTGTTTTCCAGTAAATTTTTATTTACTTTTATGCTATTTTTTTTTCTATGCAATCCAATCATTTCTGATTAGACTCGCTTAGCTGATCACTTAATAAACTGAACCAGGCAAATTTTCTTAGGAATTCATTTAGGAGAGGAATAAAATGAGCAGCTTGCATTACTCGAGTTTTTCAATGATTCAATACACCCGCCTCTATACTCTGAAATCATAGTATCAACCACTTAGCCATTCCATCCAGTTTTCCACATTATTTATCAAATATTTCGGAAATATTACTACTTATATTATTAAATATTATTGCTTCAGCTTATTAGTTTTGTTGATGAATTAGTAATTTAATTTAATTTAAAAATATATGAATAAAATCGTTTTTATTCATTCTATTCTTCCCATACTATTCGTTGTTTATCATTTTCTTCTAAAGGCATTTACCATTTCGCGTTTGGATTGGCCAAATAATGATGCCTAGCGTGACTAACAGTTCATTTTTAACCTATAATACATTATTATTTGCCCTTTTAAAATAAGCTGTAGAACAACATAATATAACACATTATCATAATAAAATACGCAAAACAAACTAAATATTCTTCAGAGTGATCGAATCGCTAAATCTAGCATCGTTGGGTTTAGTGGCCGTAGGCGTATATATGTTCGAATACTTGCGTGCTCGTGTAAGCGCCAATATTATCTTCAAAATGCTTCGAGAACAGCCGAAAATTGATAGTTTTTCTAATGGTGGAAAAATGCTGGTCGATTTCGCTTGATTTTTATTTTTTTAAATTCTTTTTAAAATGTTTAAATAAATTTTAAAATTAAAATTAAATTTTCGAAATTAATTAAAATTAATTCTAAAATTTGTGGTATATAACAACGTAAAATTACTGATTTTTTGTAATTTTTGTAACACAACTAACAGTAACGAAAATAGCAATAAAATAAAAAATAATTCATAAGAAGAACGTATAGTTTAGTTGAAGAACATAATAAACATATTTTCGGCTTTTCTATTTTTTATATATATTTTATATATTCTATTTTATATATTTTATTTATATCATTTTTTTTCTATATTCACTGATAAAGTGAATCTAAACGGCTTTAGATGTGGAGAATAGCTGCTGTTTTCTTATGAAGATGATTTTAAAAAATTATAAGATTTTAAGCGCTACAACAAATTTCTAAATAAAACTTTTGAGGGCAAATCCTAAATATCTTTTTTTGCCTATAAAAAACGATAAGATAGATAGATTTATTGCAAATTCATTTTAGAGTATAAGCGGTAATATAAAATTGGACCAAGTTTATTTCGCTTATCCAGCAAATCCTCGACATTTGGTGATAAATCGATTAAAATTTGAAGTGCAAAAAGAAAAAACTGTTGCTATAGTAGGTCAAAGTGGATGCGGAAAATCTACGATTCTTCAACTATTACAGCGTTTTTATGATACAATTGATGGTAGAATTGTAAGTTTAAAATATAAAATTATGAAATTATCATTATTATCATTATTAATCGATATTTTAAAAACCACATTTATATCCAATTAAAAAAAAACCCGCTGTTATGGATGGAAAATTAAACAGATTTTTGGTACTTCTTAAGGAATACCAATAGAAAGAACACCGACATTGACGTTCCCGGACAACAATAATAATGCTCTGAACAATTGTGCCTGCCATTTTTCTTTCAATTATATTAATTGAAATAATTTCAATTTTTTGATATTTTTTTATTAGTTATTTGATGACATTGATTGTCGCGATATCAATCCACAAAATCTTCGATCTCAAATCGCTATCGTTAGCCAAGAACCCGTATTATTCAATCTGCCTATTCGTGACAATATCGCTTATAACATTAAAGACGTGAAGCAATGGCAAATTGAAGAAGCAGCAAAATTAGCAAATGCACATAGTTTCATATGTGAAATGCCTGAGGTATATATAAACTAATAATTAACTTATAATTTTTTTGCTTTTAACTTATCATTATAATTATCAAAAAACAACGTGGTTAACTAAAATCTTTAATTAACCATGTTTCACAAATTTGATAGAATAATAATTTAGGGCTACGATACTTCGGTTGGTGAGAAAGGAAGTAAGCTGTCTGTTGGCCAGAAACAAAGGATTGCAATAGCAAGAGCAATCATACGAAATCCAAAAATCCTTCTTCTCGATGAGGCAACAAGTGCTTTGGATTCAAAAAGCGAAAAGGTATGAAAAGCCTATCGCTAATCAACACATTTCCTAGCGAATATTTCCAATTATTATTTAATTTCAGCTCGTGCAAGAAGCTTTAAATCGTGCCAAAAAAGGTCGAACGTGTATTGTGATAGCACATCGTCTTTCAACAATTCAAAATTGTGAAATGATTTTTGTTTTGAAGAACGGGCGAATAGTCGAATCGGGCAATCATCAGCGACTATTGGCAGCCAATGGCCTCTATGCAAAATTAATCGAAAAGCAAAATCTTTAATCAAAATCCTCGCCTCAAACATGTTTCAATTGCATTATCTGAGAAAAACAAAAACTACAATCACGCTACATTTTCGGCTTTAATTATATGCGCGTGTTGTCGAATATTTCATGAGAATTAAAGCGCAATGCCAAATTCTACTTTTACTCTTTGGCTGAATTATTTAAATATTATAAAAAATAATAAGTAAAATCTCGATAAAATTGAAAAAATATTTAAGAATTAAGAAACGAAATCCATTTAATCGCCATCAATAACTTAATACAATAACTCTGAAGTTCATCTAAGCATTAAATGAAATTCCTACAATGATAAGAAAATGATAAGAAAATATCTAAACAATGATTATAAATTCACAACTTAAAATATTAGATTTATTAGTAATTATCTCCCTATATGATAAAAACGGATAACATGGTAAAATTTTTCGTCAACAATTTCATGATACACATCGGAGACATATTTGAGTATAAATTTGCAAATAAGCCAGCTCGCTAGTTCATCACAGTTTCTTTTTCCCTTTTAAAAAATATTGAGAAAAAAAAATTCATTATTACTGCTATTATTGAAGTTGTTAAAAATTTATAGTTGAATCTTCTGCATTAGAATTTGAGTAGTGAGAATTTTGTTCAGTGATGCAGGTGTTTTCATCGCCGGAATAGCTCATATTCGGACATAATGAAGAAAGAGGATGAACCACGTTTGTCCAAAGAGGTATATCAGGCTGAGAAGGTAGTTCATATGTTTCTTCTTGAAGTGGTTCTGACGGACAGGATTCACTAGATAATTTTTCTACACCAGTACCATTTGATTGTTGAATTTTGTTTCGGCATAATAAATTCTCACTTATGTAATTTGGTAAGCACCGTTCACATCTATTCATCTATATTATTATTAATTATTAAAGGAATAAAAATAATAGCTTAACAACTTTACAAAACCTATCAATCATATTGAAAGTTATCTAAATCACTGACACTGACCTTAGAAAATATTATTGTAACGAAAAACTTGTTATGATTGGAAATGTGAAATTGTTAAATGATCCGGGCTTTATCAATGAAGGAGCCTATGCTTAACATTTCGATTGCATGATTAGTTAAGCATTGATTTGATTTAGAGATGATTTTAAGATAATTAAGAATGCAATCGAGCCAAAACAAACTTTTTCTCTGCCAGCTTTCTCTTCTAATGCTTTAAGTTCATTCGTTAATTCGTAGATTTGATTCTGAAAAATTTTGATAAGTATAAATTTTTTCTATTAAGTATAAAATATAAAAGTGTCCCAATGTTTCAATATCTCTAATAACCCTTAATAGCATTGTTATTTTATTATTATTATTGTTATTAATATTATTATTATTACTATTATTATTGTCATTATTATTATGAAAAAAAGAAAATTATTAATAATACAACAATAGAAAAAGGCTATCTAACAAGACGAGAAAAAATTCTTGACTGATCAAGAAATTTTGGCTTAGCGAGAAATTCATCATAGAATAGATTAACCATCGATAAAATGGCTTACAAATTAATTTAAGAAAATTACTTCCCACTAGTAAATAAACCTTTGTCTCTATAAAACTACTCGGATCTCTCGAATGACAGATTTTATCATCGAGAAAATAAAGCTCGAGCTTTAAGTTCGAGAACTTAGCATTAATCATATTACCTCTGATTTTTTAAAAGTATTCTTTTCTATGCAAAAATTTATGCATTTTTAAAAGAGTAACTTCTTTTATTAAGGAAAAAATCTTTATTCATTTCATTGAAAAAATTATTTCTCATTTTTACCTGCATAGCTAATTCAGTTGTAAAACTTTGCCATTTTTGTTCATTCATTTCTGCTTTCAGCTTAATAATTTGTTCATGAAATTCCTTTAACTTAGAAATGGCTTCTTTTAACTGATGCTCTAAGTAATTTATTCGTAAATTATATTTTGTAGCGATTGCTGATAAGCTAAAAAAATATTTCGTAAATTCATTATTATAACTATCGTTATCGCTCTAAAATTGCAAAAATAAAGCTTGAGCTTTAAGCTCGAGAGCTTAGGATTAATCACATTACCTCTGATTTTTTAAAAATATTCTTTTCTGATTGCTAATTTAAATTTCATAACCAATTTTTGTTATTTTTAAGCTAAATAGGCGCTTAATTGTTATAAAAATACGTTTAGACGAGCCAAGCATTTCGAATATAAAGGCCTTTATTCATTGAAATTTGATTAAAAAGCCTATTTTTCGACAAAATTTCTATAAATAGTGACGACGTTCGTACTAAACTTACAAGAGGCGATTTGCATTTGTGATATTGTTTTGTGGCATCATGTCGACGAATAAATTTTTCTTGCTTACTTCTTTCCTGCAAAAAAATTTAACTCGATTTCATTTTAGTTCACATTTTTTATTAAATAGTACGCATTTCTAAAGAAAATTGCCTAGCACATTGAAATATCATTACGCGATATGAAAATAAATAAAAATAAGCAAAAAATGAAAAAAAGCAATCAATAAGTAATGAATTAGGAAAAGAAATTAGTTAAAAGGTTTGTAAATAAAACGAAAGTATTTTCACCTTATATATAAGATGCTGATAAAAAACCTATTTTTATCAATTCATTGTTGGTTGAAGAAGTGCTTAATTTTAAATGCCTTAGATCCACTCTAATCCCAAATGGCCAGGAAAAGGATAAAATCATGACCTGGATAACGGCAGCTAGAATTGTGTTTTCCGGTCAATGAAACCTTCATGGAACCGTCGCGAAATTACTATAAAGACGAAAATCCGATTCCATATAGCTGTAATTCGCTCGATCTTTTTATATGGTCAATGAGAGTGAAGGATATTAGCTATCGACCTTTGACCACTCATATCTAACATATATTTTGCGGATCCATCGATCGGATAAAATCACACATGATTGTACCTATCATCGCTCAAATACCACCTGTATTAATAATGTTATCATAGAGAATCGCCTTCGCTGGTTAGAGCACGTTCTTTTCCACCACAGGAATTGACGCATATTTCGTTACTTGTTGAACACTTGATGGTTGGCGTCAAAAGCCAGAAGGATCAGTCAAGGCCTGGACTAATATAGTTAGGAAAGATTTTGAGCGCATAGGGGAACCAGAGTATATAAACTTAGACGATATATGAGCTTAGATGAAAAAGGAATGGTTTCTACTACTAGCTATGGTGTCGGACCGAGCAGCTTATCTTACTTATGTATCTTACTTATGTGAGATATCTTACTTATGTAGCCAGCGGAGCCAGCCTAACCAGTAATGATGAGGGCTATTAAAAAAAGAAAAGGTTTAAACACGAAAGTTTTTACTTACTTACTTGAAAGCTGGATGAGGCTTAGGCTTACGCTTAAGGTTCAATAATAGCACATCCAGTAAGATTTGTTGCACAGATTGTCATATCTAGCATCATTGTTTAATCTTTACGCTTAGAGGCTCACTTGCACTTCCATAAGTGAGCTGTCTGGCTAATTCATTTCATCACATTAACAACCAGTTGAGCGAGCCCAGCAGTGATAAATATTTACCAGTAATGATAACTACTATTGGCTTTTATTTATCAGCTTATTACATAGAAAAAGTACTGGCAGTCCATATTTCAAATTTCAATATTAATTGTTATAAAAATTTAAAATATATTTTATATATTTAATCAATATTCGCCCTACCCTTTAGTATTGTATAATAATTTTATTTTTATTCGATAATTCAGATTTTTTTCTTTTGATCAAATAGCGGCGGTTTAAAATAAATAAAGCTTCAGGCAAATCTCCGTATTCATTTCATATGTAAATATGTATCCAATATATTTAAATGTTTATTTTTTGTTGAATTTGCTTAGATATTTGAAATTTACATCGATTGCGCACTTTATATAATCCAAAATGCTCAATATTCTACCAATTAACCAATTAGGACAATTGTTCTTCGTTGCCCACCAAAGGAGTGGACACATATCTCGTTATTTGCCCCATAATGGGTGGCGTCAAAAATGAAATTGGCCAATCAAGACCTGGACTGATATGATCATAAAAGGTTTTGAACGAAGAAGAAAAATAGTGATTTATGGGCTTAGACGGTAAAAAAAGGAATGACTAGTCATGATGGCATCGGGCTGAACAGCTTGGAAACAAATTATCGCTGTAGTCTCAACCTAACCAATCAAAATGATATTTTTTTTATTGTGAAATGAGCTCAAATTCTTCAAAAAAATTAATTATAAATTTGAATTTTTATTTTTAATCAGCTAATATAATTACATAGTAAAGCCTGAGAAAATAAAAAATACAACGAATAAGTCGAAAAACACAATAAACACAAAATTTACAAAACAAAAAAAACCAAAAACCCGTCATTTTTAGAAAGAGAAACGTGAAGAAACGTGATATTTACGTAAATTAAAGAAAAAATCAATCTAATTCATTGCTCAGAATCGTCAAATAACAAAACGGGCGATATCTCTGGTAGAAATAAATAAATGTTTTCTGAAAAAAACCGACTTAGACGAGTGGCGCTCATACCTTTAGCCATAAATGAATATTTTTTACATCACTAAGACGAGTAAGACGAGTCTAAACAGAAATTATGAGAGCTAATCAATTTTCTATCAATCTGAAAAAAATATACGCTACTAGGAGTGATAAAAAGGAATACGAAGAGGACAGGAAAGAACGAATGTTCACAAAATTGACCAAATAATAAAATCGAATCGATGATTATAATTATGATTGCCATTCTGATGAGTGATAAAATCGTAAATCAACTAAACTAATGAATTCTATTATATATGAGACTTTTCAACATTTCAGTTAAAAAGAACAATCAACTTTCAATCATCTTTCAGTGAAATTCTGGACGATCTTAACGATATGAAACGATGGTTTTTTGAGTCAAAACAAATTTGAAATAAAATAAATAAATAATATTATTTATTTATTTTAAATAAGAAACACACTAAAAATTATATTAAATTATTCTCGAGAATATTTTTCTATTCAACGACATAGCCATGTCGTTCACCTTTCGCTATGGTACTTCTCGTTTTCGTATGCCATACAAGTATTTCTTTTGGTTCATCGTCGTAACCAAATGGTTCTATTTTTTCTTTTGGAATATTAAATTGTCGAAGAAAGCATGTTTCTGGTACCTGTTTTACGCAACCACGATGAAATGATGCACTAAATAGTTGTATTTGAAGAAAAATACAAAAAAAAAGTCGTATGTTGCCATTGCCATCATTGTTGCAAGTTTATTGTTAGCTAGTTTAATTAAGTTTATATAATTAAGTTTACTAAACTTTAACCCAATCAACAACAAATTTTACTGAAAATAAGTCTTTTTTTCCTAAAATTTCGACCACTTCATGTCCCCTAAAACCTAGCAGACCCCTAACTCTTAATCCGCATTCAATAAGCTTAATTGGTAGCGTCGATGATGCAGTTCGATTCCCCGCAGGAATAAACCTACATAAAAACCCGGGTGAGCTGGCGACTCACTTGTATTTCTATCGACAAGGGACTCCCTGGCATATTTCCCAATGCAACAAGCCAGTGGACAAATCGAGTTAAACTAGTAATGGTGAGGCTTCTTAAAAATAAATAAAAAAACCGCACTTAAACTCAAATAATGTATATCCAAATAATGGAAAAAGGTAAAGAATCCATAAATAATACGTATTTTTTGTATGAAATAAGGTAATAAGGAAAAAATACTTTTTGTCACAAATTTATATTATAAATTATATAAAAAAAGCATTTTAATACTATTTACTTGCTATTCAAAATTGACTGCAAATTTATTGCGAATCCTGCCATATCAATCGCAAATTCTCTTCCTGGCGCATATACTACATCCCATGCGACAATAGTCCTATTGACAACACGTGGCGCTTCTACTAAAGCACCTCCAGACAATCCTGAAAAAATATCATAAGATGCCATAAGCCATAAAAAAAAACAAAATTTGCGAAAAATTACTACATTCACATTAATTTTTCTGATTTTTTTCCCTTTTATAGTTTATCGCGCTAAAAAGCAGAATAGTTGCACGATTATTGCTCGGTTTATCATTCATTTTCCGCTCTTAACTATTTTCAACAAATCCAAATCTATTAAGAAAAAATCCAGGGCTGTGCTTGTGAAGCATTTAAATTTCTATTGCCCAAATGATTCTCTAGCAAAAGTTTTTAGCAATATTAACAACCACTGCAAAGAGCCAAACCACAAGTGAACGCTTACCACTTTTTTTTAAGAGCCTTCACCATTACTGGTTAGATTTGCTCTGGTTTATCGCAAAGGACAAGTACAAATATTCCAGGGAGCCTCTTGGAAAATCGCAGGTAGGTCGCTAACATTACCAGGATTTTTGGACAGCTTTATGACTTCGGGGAATAGAACTTCACTGTTGGCGCTCCGAATTGAGCAAAAACCCCACTGAGTCATTCTATTCAACAAATATTTATGAATAAAGCAGTTTCAATGAATTCTATCATTATTTCAATCTATTATTACAATCTTATTAAATAATTCGTAAATATATTTTTAAGAAATTAACTATTTCAGTTTTAATAGCTTTCAGAAAAATCAGAAAAATTAGTGTATTATGTATTATACCGCATAAACATTGTGTTATGTTGTTAAAAATTATCAACAAAAAGCATTAAAATCATTCGAAAGCCAACTAACCAACTGCCCAAATTCCAATCGTTTTTACTTTACGAATATATTTATCGAATAATCTAATATCATAACTATTATCATCATCAGCAAAATACACTACGCCAGGTCGATTATAATTTTTATAATTTTTACGAACATATAGCAAACCTTGGTTTCGATGTGACCAACCACGTTCTGAAACGAAAAATTGTACGGTGTTTGATTGCTTTTTAAAAGGAATGAATTAGATTTTAAAAGCCTTGACCATTTTTTTCAGCTCATCGTTTCTGGCTGGGATTGTTTCAATCGTTTCCCGGATCAGACTAAAGACTTGCCTATAGAAGTATCATTCCAGTCAGCAGTACCTGAATTTTCGAGACTTACTTCATCTTGAGGAGTAGAACCCAACCAGCGCTTCGAAATGCGGTCAACATTCCACTCAGCCATTCTATTCATCGAAGTAATTTAAGTAATTTTCCGCCATCACATATCATATCATATCACTTATCATAAAAATTACAAATGATAAAAAATAGCTTAAAATTAAGATGAATGACTAACTAGGAAAGCCGTTTTCGGTGGTTGTAAAAAAATATACATATGGAAGACCGCTACGATCTAATATCCTTTGCACTGCTTCAACTGTATGATTAGCATCCTCAATTACGATCCAATGCAAATTCTTTACATGCGATAAAGTTTGCGCCAACCTAAAGCGTAGTACAGTAAAGATTACGATAAAAAAAAGCACTAGACAATTCAAAGCATAAGTATGTACAATAAGCTTTTCTACAGACTTATATTAATGGAATAAAATGTTTCAGAAATCACCTCGTCATATCTGCTAATCGTTCCAATCTTTTATGCGTTGGAGTAATTACTATAATAGTGGGAAATTGTAAATTTGACAGCCATTGCCGATAGACATTATATAATAATACAAGCAGTAATATTGTGATTAAATATGGTATAAATTTACGTATAGTAAAAACAACTATGTTGCTTCGCATAGCAGACTAATCGCTTATAAAATCAGTTTCATTTTTGATAAATTCTCTAAAAAGAAAAAAAAAATATTAGTTCAGAATAAATATTCTTAAAATAGAAAACAATGAGTTAGAATGATTCAATAGATTCCGCAGGAATAAACCTGTACAAAAATCCGGGTGATGCTGGCGACTCAGTTGTATTTCTATCACCAAGGGATTCCCTGGCATATTGCCCAATGCCACAATCCAGTGGAGCGAGTTTGACCACTAATGGTGAGGACTCTTAAAAAAAAGTTCAGTAGATAGATTTTCAGTCATGTTTCAAAGCTCCGATATTGGAGTTCTAATATGAATAACTAAGTCTTTTGAAAATTCTGGTGATGCTGGTGACTTATCTGTTATTCCTTAGCGAAAATTATCTCAACCGACCGCATTTCAGCAAATCGAGTTTAACTAAAAATTTAGCCAAAAATAGTGAATGCATTTCGAAAAAAGAAAGTAGAACAAAATAAAAATTTTAAATTTTTTATGTACAAATGAATGTTTTACCAAGAAAAAATCGTTTTTTTCATTATTAGCTCTTCATTTAACGGAATGAAATAAAGAAAACATGAATAATGAAACAAAGAAAGTCATGAATTGATGAATCATGAATTCTTTAAATTAACTCATTTTTATGAAATTAGAAGAAATTCCGGAATTTTGATAAGAAACTTTCAAAGAAATGCACAAATTCTCTTTTACGAATTATTCTTATCAATTTATCATTCTAAGCTTATGTTGAAATTTAAGATTAAAAGTATTATATTATACATTTTAAGAAATTTTTTGTTATAATCCTTCGCCTACTAGATAGGAAAATCTTCTTCTCTAATACTTCTTAGAAAAATAGATTGCCAAGTGGAATTTCAGATGCTTCAAAAATGTCTGAAGTGTCAAATAGTGCTTTATTCGTTGGCTGTTAATTAAAAGGAAAAAATTTTTAAGAAATACAAAAGAATTTAATAAATGAAGCAGAGCTCAAAAATATACGGTTTCAACTGAAAATCTTGTAAGAATGGCATCGGATCGGGTTTCAACACTTCTCATCCTATCCTAGCCACCTTATTCTCACACCATCCTTGCCTGTGGAGTATTTGCCTGAACCAAACCAGTAATGCTCTTATCAATTCGAAAAAGAATACGAATACCATATATAACATAATTTTATAGTAAATTTCAGAGAGAATTTCATATAACTCAAATGAAAGCAACGACCAACTTTTATTATTTTACGATTTATTCATTTTTATATAATTCTACAGTATTTATGCAAATCAAGTTTTGTTTATTAAATGGCAATAAAATTGATCAAAGAGTTTCTTTAATTCTATGAAAATATTTGAGATTTTTTAAATCGATTTCAATTATATAATAAAATCATTGATCCTATGTATTGTTGCATTTGTTTTATACACAAATAGCATTCACCATTTCTGGTGAAACTCGCTTCGTAGAATTTTTCGTAAATTAGATGCGATAAGAATCAGAATGAGATCAGTCAATTGAAAATAGAAGCGCACAAAAGTAAAAGTTGGTTCTTCGCCGAATTTTCAATAGCAACTTTACTTTTGGACTGCGAATGAATTGGATGAACTCGAAATTATAACCTAAGCAAAAGTCATTTGGCCCATCTTAACTTTGAGCATTGCACTGTGGTTTTCAAATAAAAGACAAAATTCCAAACTACCGAGTTGGACAATATTATAGACGAAAAATTATTCAATAAGCAAGAAAATTTCACTTGTTGGTTATGTTGGCTAAAAAACTAGCGAAAACAATATAAGCAATAAAGGATTAAAAAAACCAGTTTCCAACCCAGTTACACTACTATTATTACTAATGGCGTACAGCTACTAACAGATTTATAGCGGAAGAAAAGCAACGAAACAATGTCTTACGACGCCTTCCGACGCCTCAGTCTAACCTGACGATGAGGTTGACTAGCTTATTTTTTCTTCGACAAAAAGAAAAGATTCCATCTTTTATTTTCTTTTTCATGCATTTAATTTTTTGATTTCAAAAAATTTTCAAATTTAAAATTCTTTCAAATTTAAAATTCTTTCAAATATTTTTTGTTATTTTTCTGTAGAAAATTTTAAATTTGATGAAAAATTTTCGGAGAAAATTTCTTTCATATATTTTTTCTTTTTTAAAAGTCCGTTTACTTGTCTACTTAAATTATCGATAAGCCATTAAAAAATCAAAAAATTCGAAATTCAAAAACTAAAAAACAATGAATTTCTTTAAGAAATATATTTATCGGTATTTCGTTATATATTATGGAATCAAGAATAATCGAAATAAAATAGGATTACACCACTCACAAAATAACAGTGATAAACAATGACGAAATAACCCTGAAAAGTTGCGTCCGAACAAAATTTCCCGATAAGTCAAATCCTGCCGATAGTGAAAGAGAACTGAAGTTGAAATTCAATTGAAAATTATCATAGGTATTATAAAAATGAATATAAAATATTACCATCTATTAAATATAATAATATGATAAGAAAAAAAATAAAACTAGATATGTCACCGTAACGTACCAAACAAAAATCGCCAGAGCATCGTTTAATATGCCAGAGAGCTCATAGCGGATCATCGTTAATTAATATTTATCACTTGAGAGTTTTTCATCAATTAATATATAAAAATATTTCTGCTCTTAAGCTATTTATTATCACATTTTATTTTGCAAAACAATTTTTGAATCCTATAGTTGACGCAATTTAGTTGAAATAATATCAATTTCGACACCGATAATAGTGATAATGATGGCAATAATAATAAAATTCTGAGATATTTTTTGCAAGTTCGAAGGGCTCTAATTATTCATGAACTCGATTCAAGGAAAGAATCATGAAAATTTGATTCAAAGTATTTAATATCTCATTAAGTCTTGAAGATTTGAGAAAAGTTGATAAATAGATAAATAGAAATAAAATTTCAAAAGTACGCTAGAAAATTAAATTGTAGGGAAATAATTTTAACAAGTTTTGTTCATCACTATAGCCAATGAAATCCACGAATTGTGTGATGGCACATAGCGTTCATTCATTATCTGAAAATTTTTTCTCTATCAAATTTCTTCTATCAAGTATATAAATATTCATATAATGGTACTGAAGCAGTTTTCGAAGTCACTAGTAAATACAACTGCCGATTTCAATAAATAAAATAATGGATAAACATTTAAATATTGATACCGATATTATTTATTATTATTCATCTAATGATAATTAATTAAATATTATTAATATAAGTAAATAAATAGTAAATAAGTGTATTATAAATCTTAAAAATATTGCTTTATTTAATTAAAAATGATTTAAAAAATAATAAATATACAATATATAAATAAATAATATGTACTATTTTTAATATTCTTTAGCTAATAAAACAAAGAGACTAAATGTTCGAGTGGCAATGAAGGAGAGAATTTAGTATATCGCTTCATCTAGGGTCAAGTTACCATATGTTCGACCTTTCTTCTTGGTGTGATTAAGAACTTTTCATTAAAAGTGGAATCTCAGTGATACTAGCGATCCACCTGTTCTTCAATCGCTAAAATGACTCTCCGATGAAATCTTAATAATCGCAGCTAATGGAAATGACAATTGGTAAATGCTATTAAAAGAATAGACGAATTTAATAATATAAAATTATATTTTATAAGTTTGATTTGGTGCAATTTTCGTACTTGTCATACTTTAATTTAAGTTAATAAATATTATTAAATTATTAAATTGTAAAATTTCATTTTATTTAATTAAAAATAAGAACCATAAGACCACTGCGAATATACGAAATCGTAATAATATTTTTTCGTACCTTTATAAATTTTAATATTAAATACAAATATACTTTATAAATTTTTAATATTAAATATTTTATTTTAAAAATAGTAAAAAAGAGAAATTTGTTGGAAAAAATAAGCGATCTATGCGGTAGTTATAGCTGTTATAAACAATGAGCAACACATAAACAATTGTTTAATTCAACAAGTATATTTATTGTATTTTATTTATAGCTTTGAAGAAAGAATTTTCCATTCATAAAATTTTCATTCGATTGAAATATTGATATTTATCACGTTTTAAATAAACTACGGAACGGAAAATGAAAATTAAATTAAAATTAAATTAACTCATTGAAATTTATTGGTACCACTTTTTTTATAATAAATTTTTCATGTTTTTTTAATCTACTTAAATACTGTTTACTTTGTCTTCTATACTGGTTAGTTATCCATCACATGAATCTTCGTATATACTTTATATTCTTCTTTATAATGGATAGCGTCATAAAGGTTCAATCAAGACCTGGATTGATATGATCACGAATGCATAGGCAGTGATAAGCATAAATAGTGGGAGGGATAGAATAATTTTGATATTTCAGGTATGTTTTTGATTAAGACGCTTAAAAATACCTCCTTACAATAACAGCCTGACTAGTAATGATCCCAACCGTTAGAAACGTTTTAATCTGCTGATAAAACCAGAGACTCAGACTTGTTCCGTTATAAAGAGTTTTTGGGCTTGATTTGAATTATTGCTTTAGATCAATATGGATCTATATTGAAAAACCATTCTATCGACAATATTTAAGGTAATTAATTATACCAAATTGTAAAAGTGAGATTAAAGATGATAAAGATTACTGATTACTGATTACTTTTAAAGTCATTTATAAAACTAACACAAAAATAAATATGGAACTTAACCATTACAACCTATCTATAGTATGAGGATTAGAATAACCCTCGTTTCGAAGAGCTGGTACTGGGGTCCCACATCCAATAGAATTTCTATCACCAAGTGGTTCTCTGGCAAAAATTTTTTCTTATCTGATAAGCGAGTCAATTTAATCAGAAATGATGAGCACTAACCGAAAAAATTATTTTATAAATTTTATTTTAAAATTATTTTAAAAAAATTACATTATATTAGCATAAAGAACATATGAAAATATTCGAA